CCTTGTCTCTCGGAAGTTTTTTTTTTTTTTTAACTTGAAAATAAATTGGGGGGGTGGTGCCTGGGTGACTCGGTTAAACGTCTGCCTTTGGTTCAGGTCATGTCTCAGAATCCTGGGATCGAGCCCCGTATCCGGCTCCCTGCTGGGTGGGAGCCTGCTTCTCCTTCTCCCACTCCCCCTACTAGTGCTCCCTCTCTTCCTGTGTCTCTCTCTGTCAAATAAATAAACACACACAGTGAAAACAGGGCCTGGCAGTGGGGCCTAGCCCCACTCCGGGTAAATACTCGAGAGACGTGCCCATGGCAGCTTGGACACCAATGCTCACAGCGGCGTTACTTATAACTGCCATGGAGCGGAAATGACCCAGATGCCCACCCACAGATGAACGGGTCAATCAAAACGTGGTACGTGTCCATGCATGGAAATACTACGGAGCAACAGAGAGAAGCAGTGACACAGGCTACGATCTGGGTGAACCTTGGAAGCATTACGCTAAATGCAGGAAGACCACATACCCCAGAATTCTAGTTACACGGTAAGTCCGGTGAGACACATCTATAGAGAGGAAGGCAGTAGGTGAGTGGTTGCCAGAGGCTGGTGGTGACAGGTTAGGGAAAACGGCAGTGACTATTCTTGGGTATGGGGCTTCTTTTTAGGGGGTGAACGTGTTCTGAAAAAATGAGATGTGGAGGCGCCTGGGTGGCTCAATGAGTTAAGGCCTCTGCTTTCGGCTCAGGTCATGATCCCAGGGTCCTGATATCGAGCCCCGCATCAGGCCTACTTGTGATCTCTCTCTCTGTTAAATAAATAAATAAAATCTTTAAAATCTTTAAAAAAAAATGCGACATGATGATGGCTGCACAATTCTGTAAATATACTAAAAATCATGGGCTTGTATATTTTATTATTATCATTATTTTTTAAGATTTTATTTATTTATTTGACAGACAGAAATCACATGTAGGCAGAGAAGCAGGCAGAGAGAGATGGGGAAGCAGGCTCCTCACTGACCAGAGAGCCTGATGGGGGGCTCGATCCCAGAATCCTGGGATCATGACTGGAGCCGAAGGCAGAGGCTTTAACCCACTGAACCACCCAGGCACCCCTATTATTATTATTTTTAAGATTTTATTTATTTATTTGACAGAGATTTCAAGTAGGCAAAGAGGCAGGCAGAGAGAGAGAGAGAGGAGGAAGCAGGCTCCCCGCTGAGCAGATAGCCCGATGCGGGGTTTCATCCCAGGATGCTGGGATCATGACCTGAGCTGAAGGCAGAGGCTTTAACCCACTGAGCCACCCAGGTGCCCCTATTATTATTATTTTTTAAAGATTTTATTTATTTATTTGAGAGAGAGAGAGAGGATGAGAGGGGAGAAGGTCAGAGGGAGAAGCAGACTCCCCACAGAGCTGGGAGCCCCATGCGGGACTTGATTCCTGGACTCTGGGATCATGACAGTTGCTTAACCAACTGCGCCGCCCCTGGCGACTGACTCTACGAGATCTTTAACATCACTAAAAATATCAGAGAAACAAACAAGCAAATCAATGCATGCGATATTTTTGCTGGTACCCCAACAGCTGATTCTGCACACTCTTCAGATTAAAAATGGGATCTGCTCTTTTCATTTAACTTGGGTCAACTTGGCCGCTGACTTACAAGTGGACCTCACGTTCTGACCACCATCATTCTTCCGGTATTTGTCATATTACAGTGTTCAGATGTGGGCCCTCCAGAGTCTTGGATCCCGGAATGCAGCCACTGTCCTGTCTGACCATCCACCACTACGCTGCTGCTGAAGCAACCACAAACTCTGTTCTGTGAAACATCGTTAGGTGAGCGGGACCCAGACAACAGTTAAGATTTGAATTCTACAGAATAATGTTCTATGGTTGAACTCCCCTGCCCTCAGCTAAGAAGAGCGAAAGAGTGAAAACCTCTGTGGGATAGAAAGAGTGAAAATGGGCTCAGAGCGAGAAAGAACAGCTTTGCTATTAGCTGGGCTGGGGTGACGGCACAAAGACAAGTGCAAAGTTAACAGGAAGTACCACTCCTCCCGAAGTCACAGAGCAGCTGTAAAATACCAAAAAGACACCATCTTCCCGTTACTACTGCTTTCTTCTCAATGGCCCCAGACCCACTTTGCTATGTACATGGATTACTGTTTTCATCTCTTACATCTAATTCATCCATTACTTCCAACTGCTAAGCGCCCCTGCCATTACATACATCGGGGTGCACCCACGTCCCGTCCTGCACATACTCCAGCTTCTCTCCTGCCTTGGATCCCACCTGGGCGCCCCGCCTCTCCACCATCGCTTTCGGGACTGTGTATTTGAAATGGGTGACTTGCATGGTACCTGAATTCTCTCTCAGGACATTTTTTAAGATTTTATTCATTTATTTGACAGAGAGAGACCTTGTGAGAGAGCAGGGGGAGTGGGAGACAGAGAAGCAGGCTTCCTGCTGAGTAGGGAGCCTGATGTGGGGCTCGATCCCAGGACCCTGGGATCATGACGTGAGCCGAAGGCAGACGCTTAATGACTGAGCCACCCAGGCACCCCATGGGCATTTGTTAAAAAGAAAAAAACCATACAACAGCCCAGTCTGACAGGCAGCATATTTAAAAGAAGTAGCAGCAGGAGTATAACATCTATAGAACTTCGGATTCTCCCAAGTAAGTGGAAATGCGTGTCCTTAAAAACGCGCTGATAGCACGCACACCGACCACGCAATGCTTGCGGGAGCTGGCTAAGTGCTGCCTCAAGGGTCAGCAAAGTGGGGGCATCCGGAGGGAACCGCAAAGGGTTCCCCATCTCTTCAACCTGCCGCACTGGGTCCAGGCACTGCTTGGGGTGAAGGCCTTCTACAGGCTGCTCGAGTTCTGCACCTACACTCTACCTCTCCCAGGGCCAGAAAGCACTGCCATCATCCCTACCGTACTCTTCTTTTTGCCTGTCCCTGTGAAAAGGAAAGCTCTGGGAGGGCAGAAGTACCGTCCACTACTCTATTTCCTCCCCTAAAAAAGTTCCTGGCCCACAGTGGATGCTCACTCAATAAGGGTCCACAGTGTTTTAGGGGGTCCACAGTGCAACACTCCAAAGACCAACCTGAATTTTGGGGGAGGGGACAAAGTGAAGACAGCAGGAAGAGAACCCAGTTAGGACACAATTGTAACAGGGAGAAAAGTTAACGATTATTTAACCTAAAAAAAAGTTCCAGGGCTTTTTGCATCCTGAGGAGTTTATGTAACGTGCGCCTGCTGTGTCAGCTCGAGGGACGGTGAACCGAGCAGCCGGGCGGGCCCCGGCGCAGGGCTGGCGTCTGACCCAAACCAGGCCAACCACGGCCTCATGCTCTGCAGACTCTTCCCTCCTTAACAATGGAAAATCCTTCCAATCAAGTGATTTAATACATAACAAACTGATGTGCTTATAAATTCAAACATATTCATAAATGGGTTTAATTTAAAGGTAAAATAAATTTAATATGTAATAAAGAAGCATTTAAAATAAGGGGGGGGGGGTGCCTGGGTGGCTCAGTTGTGAAGCGTCTGCCTTTGGCTCAAGTCATGATCTCAGGGTCCTGGGATCGAGCCCCAGTCAGGCTCCCTTTCCTCTCCCTCCCTCTGCCCCCGCACCTCATGCTCTCTCTCTCAAGTAAGTAAATAAAATCTTAAAAAAAAAAAAAAGGGAAAAGGGAATATATGACTCAGAGAGCAGTGATTTTTCAATCACTTTACAAGAAAATAAAGTTACATCCCTCCTCTGCACCATAAAAGAAAACAAAATTCCAGGAGGATTATAAAATGTATTGTGAACGACAAAATTATGAAGGTGTTAGGAGAAGTATTAGATTGTTCTTTGAGATTCTGGCATTTGGGAGGCCTTCCAAAGTAAATGAGAGTTGAAATTAAGCAGTGAAAAAAGAGAGTCTCCCATTTTTCTTAGTCTGAATGGGAAGAGCGTCAGGACACTCATCACGTGGTCTGGGGAGGGGACCCACGTGGCCCTCGCAGCCTTGGCCTTGGCCACACATTGGTAAATTCTCAACTCTGAGTTAACAACAAATTAAAATAATCAAGTTGATCTCAACTTCTGACACAACAGATTGTGAAAACTACAAAAAGGTATATTACTTTCAAATTCTTTACCCAAAGCAACATATGAAAGTGAGAAATAAACGTATTTCAGGTCATGAGATTAGTTAATTCTGAAACATATAGCTGTGGGGGAAAAAAATCTGCAACTTAAGAAGGAGTTCAACGAAAATCAGGATATAAAATTTTATATTAAGTAGCAAGGACTCCCCTTATAACCAGGGAGTTCTCATTTCAAAGGTGGAAAAAACACCAACAATTCCAAAAACACTCAACAGAAAATGAATTCAGGGTCAAACAGTATGAGCTCCAAATGGGATCCCGCAGCGGGCCTGGAGACAGGCTGCGGAGTAGGAGTCGGCAGAGGACTGAGCTTCGGAGCTGAATGAAACCGACCTGGAACCAAGCACAGAATGACAGCGGCCGTCAGCCAATCAGGGCGGCCTGTCCCGACACTGGCATTGACTGGAGGCCGCTGGCCAGTCAGGGGGGCCTGTCCCAACACAAGCTTGGTCCCATCACTATTTGAACTCTGCCCCATCATTACAATTTTCCTGCACATATACAAGCAATATATGTTTACTTTTAAACTATCATCGGCACTGTTACATTAAAGAGGGTACGAAAATAACTGGGAATTCCAAGGTAACCAACCCTGGGTGTTCAGGGAGTTAAAGAAGTTAACGCACACAGGGCACTCGGACTGGACCTTGAAGGTACCGGTTTCTCTCACTGTCACCTCTCGGACACCGGACACATTCCCAAGATTGTCATTCTTCCAGTACGAACTTCGCCACACGAGGACTGTTTTGAGGGGGGAGTTGTGTTAGGCCCCACCGGCTCAGCAGACGCTGAGGATACCGGGGCCCTGGTCGGGGAGTCAGGGCTGGGACAAGCACTTACCATATGCACTACTTCTGGGTAAATGGGCTCTGTGATCACATTCCGATTATGGGTGATATATTCTACCATTTCACTTAAAGCAGCTCGTTTTACTTCCTTCCACTTTAGGTCACTTAGTGGATCGGAAACAAAGTCAAAGAGGACACAACACTGACGTAACTTCTGGATAAAAAGCTTCTCTTGATCAGCAGGAGGAACATCTGAAAAGCAGAAAGCAAAGGATATTGATCGCAAAGATGCTTAACCCCAAATTACTGTGAAACACTTTTAAGCCTTCTACTATTTTTATTTTGAATTAATAGAGATTCAAGATGAGAAACAGGGTAGGGACGGAGAGAGGTCAAACATTCCCCAAACAGAAAAACAACTAGCAGCTAGTCACTGCTCAGCTCATATGCGTCATAGGATATAATTCTTATACTATTTACTCTCTAAACCACATTGAGAGGACGGTTCAAAATAAGCCCTCTCAATGCATTCGTTCACTCAACAAATATCATCTGAGCATCAGTTATCACATGCTAATGCTGTGCTGGGCAAGGGAACGAGGGCCAAACTACAGGCCCCAGTCTGGGGTGGGGTGGGGGGGCAGACCTTCCCACCAGTGACACCTGAAGGAACAGGCAAGGTGAGCTGAGTGACAGAGGAAGGGCACGTGGGTGTCCCCTGGCTTGCTGGCAAACACAGAGCTAGCGGCATCAGTCTGCAAACACATGGAGTCACCACCCCAGCGTGCCACGAAACACGTTTCATTCCTCATCCTGGGCCACGGTCAACACATACCACGTAGGATGCCTGGTGATCTTCATGAGGACAGCGGTATAAAAACAGCGCAGATAGTAAGTAACAATACTCACGTGACTCGGTGAGTGCTTGTCTGGGCCAGGGCCATACTATAAGCTTTATCCACATTTACACATTATTTTTCTCCCACGTAATCCTTACCACGACACAACAGAGATAAGAAACAAGTCTAGAGGGTCGTCTTGGGGCCGGACAGGGAAGGAGCCCTGAACGATCTTCCAGTATTCTGGGAAGTGTGGAAAACCACCGGCCAGCGTGAGTCTGACAGCTGCTCTGGGGGGGAGGAGCGGGGCGGTGACGCGAACCCACAGGATTTAGCGATACATACACTAGAACAGGTCCAACACTGGCAAAATGTCTCCAAAGATTTGCAAACCCAGTGAACCAGTATTTTCAAAGTGATCAATAAATCATGTTACAGTATCGTTCAAGGGCAAGCGAACCACTCGGAGTGAAAGTCAGTCCACTGGGTTTTAATGGAATAAAATGTACGGACAGCGGGTTCCATGGTTTCACAATCCACACTGCATGTTCCTTCAAGAAGCTGCCATTTAAGTTCTGGTGTCACATCGAGAAAATGTCCCTAACCATCTGAAAAGGCTGTTAAGACACTCGCCTTTCCCCAAACATGCGTCTTCGTACACGTGAACCCAAACATGTGGCAACAGAGCGAATGCAGCAGCAGGCGGGAGAACCCAGACACGAGAGAGATCTGCACCAACATAAAACAATGCCGCTAAGTTTGTCTTTGTTTCGTAAAATATGGCTCTTTTCATAAAAAACATTATTTCTGTGAACATGTCATTGGCTTATTTTTCTTTTTTTTTTAAACGATTAGAAGTGAATCTCTTTTTTTTTAAGATTTTACTTGTCAGAGAGAGAGAGCTCACAAGCAGGGGGAGCAGCAGGTAGAGAGAGAAGCAGACTCCCCGCTGAGCAAGGAGCCCCATGCGGGACTCAGTCCCAGGACCCTGAGATCATGACCTGAGCCGAAGGCAGAGGCTTAACCCACTGAGCCACCCCGGCGCCCCAAGGCTTCCTTTTCTGAACTACTTCCTCGCTTGACTTCCATCCTCTCTCCATGCTACCCTTCATTCACCCTCCTGTTTGCCAGTCTGTCGTCATGGCTTGTATGTTTGGACCCTACCTGGCATTCTCGTGTTCTGGACCCTAGGAAGCAAAGAAGCCTGTGTTTGCCGCAAGAGACACCTGATGAGGACCGAGAGAGATGCCGGGAGCTCAAACTCCCTGCCTGAGGCCACCATGCCATTAAGTGGCGGGGCACAGGTAGGACACTATGCTCTACTCTAGAGCAAGGGATGCTGGGGTCACTTGGGGTGCTGCTGCGTTCCACACACATCAAAGCTCCCAAAAGCGTGACTCACTTCTTTAACGCAGTGTAAGAACTGACATTCAGAATAAAGACAAAGTTGTCACCAAAAACACTAAAACAAGTCTGTTCCAATTAAGAGGGAAGAGCAGAGGGGGCCTGGGTGGCTCAGTCATTAAGCCTCTGCCTTCGGCTCAGGTTTTGATCCCGGGATCCTGGGAGAGAGCCCTGCGCTGGGCTTCCGGCCGAGTCGGGACTCTGCTTCCCCCTCTATACCTCCCCCGGTGCCTGCTCTCTCTATCTCTGTTAAGTAAATAAAGGTAACAAAATTTCAACTTTTGGGAAATTGTGTCAATTCTTCCAGGGTACCAAACAGCTAAGGTGTTATGGTACTATTTTCATTTACAGTTTACCAAAAAAGTCTGTGACTATAATCTCATGAACTCTATTTTTTTGGAAAACTCATTTGTTTATTTTTATAACTTCACAGTTTGAAAGTTTTAAAAACCTTTTAAATTAGCGCTGCTAATCTTGAAAGAAGAACGAGGTATGAGTGGCATCAGCTGGGCCGTACTTGACTCTCCTCCCCTGATTATCCATGTAACATGAGCCGAACGTTACAAAACCAACCAGACCCCGAGGTGCTGGTACATTACATTTCCGTATTCCAGACGCAAGACCACCGCACTCTTAGTAAGCCACTGCCCTGCCTTTGACCCAAACCTTACAATTACTTTCATGAAGCAGAATAAGAAAAATGGGCTCTGAATTTTGCCCATGAGGGACAGTGGCTTACTTTCCTTTTAAATTGCAGACAGACTACTAACACGGACAGATGCGTTTCAGAACGCGTGGAAGAAGCCTTGATCCCAACAGGGACTAACAGCTAAGCTGTACCAGGAGACAAAACTCAGTGGCAGCCTGTGGGTGCTGCCAGGAACCCCAGTGATGGGCTCTTCAACTGCGGGGGAGGGGGATTAAGAAGTCCACCCGCCCGGGACAAGCCCAGCCCTACACTGAAACTGCTAAGAGCAAGAGGGAAATCAAAGAGAAGATCACAGTTCTGGCGAGAGGACATTCTTTATTACTATTTCTTAAGTTAAGAGCTGTTACATTTTGCACACATAGTATCACAAACACTTGGGTCTATATAAACCTTTCAGGTACCCCCGCCCCCCATCCTTAGGACTCTGGTTATTGTGCACTTGGGACACTTCTCAATTATTTCACGGTAAATCTTGAAGGATACCCAGCAGCAAAATATAGGGTCACACCCATGCCAAACTGGGAGAGAGGAGCAGGGAGGACACCAGCCCATGAGAAACAGCACAAACGGCACAGGGAGAAGACCGTGTCTTTCTTTTAAAAACATACTCAGTGAAAGGAAGCCAGTCATCTGTGACAGACAGAGCCGCTCCGTGAAGGTCGCCATCCGCGCAGGGCGAACGCGTCCCATTTTAGTTTCACACGCACTCCTGGCCCCACCGTGACAGAGGGCAGCATGCCTCCACCTGCCCCACCAGAGTAGCCACAGAGAGGGGGCAGAACTCCTAGGTACCTCCACCTTCTTCTTGTAATCCACACATAATCCACACGCAGTCTACAAGCCATACACCGGACACTGAGGCTGCTCTGGGTTGTCAGTCTGGAGACCACTGCAGGCTTTCCCCAGGGAGCCCTAAATGGCTAACCTCATCCCAGCCAGCTTCATCGGGGTGTGGCTTGGGTCCCGGGAGGGGCAGGGCCCCGACACTGAATTGTAGGCTGTGATCCTGCAAGGCTGAATTACTAAACTGGGGCCCCACGGGAGGAGGCACCATGCGAACTGTTTGTGGGTAGAAAAAGGATTCAAATAAAAAAGCCAACCAAGCCCACTTCCACCTGACGAGTCTTCGTGGTGAGAAGAAACACTACAAGATACAGCAGAGACCCAGCTTTCAGTAGGAGAGCTGCGCGGAGTCAGCAAACCGCACCGCCCCCGCGCCTGCCCTGGTGGGACAGAGGGGATGGCTCTGCCCCCATAACCCTGACCCCAGTGAAATAAAGGATGGAGCTGCCCCCAACCGAGAGCCTAGAGGACACCACCACAAGAGATGCTTCCCCCAAAGGCACCCACTGAGGACCTGTGAGCCCCTTCGAGGTCACTCACGGGATATTTGCTAAGCAGCTGACACGGCCTGATTTCCAAGGACAGTGGCCACCGTGTGAGCACGGCGGGGCTCTAGGAGCTCATGCCGCGCTCTGAAAGGCCCAGTGGACGGTCACCCAACGGTCCGCGAACGCCTGCAGGCCATGGGCCCACGGACGGGAGAGAGCTCCTAGAAAACGGAGACAAACAAGCAATCTCTCCCAAAGGAAGAGCCAGACCTCCAGCGACGGCGTCATCTTGTCTTTCCAATACACCTGTTCTTAGTCCCAGGTGAGGGGGAATAAAGTTGGAGGCAGTGGCTAACAATACAGGTAAATCTGCGATTCTCTATGAGTAACATGAATCCCACTGAGCTCTAGTTCTTTTATGAGAAAGCAAGGCAGATGGCAAGGTTCTCCCACTTTTAGAAAACAAAAGTTTAGCAATATCATTTTGTTTTTGAAAGACGAAATTTTTTATGGACCATTTCTGAACTGACTCTTCTTACCCACTGCTGCCTGCGTCCCCTCTGTCCTAGGTCAAGCACGTGCAGGCAGGGACTGCTGTATTGGTGTGCGAACGCCCCTTCCAGGACCTACAGCAGCCTTAGCTCCTAGAGCCATAGGACTCCGTATCTGTTGGACTAAGTTCTTTCACCTTGTTCTGTTCATGCCCTGACTATGAAAGGCCCTTTAAATTCCCTCTATCAATTTGGGAAGAATGGAGGCCATTGCAATACTGAGTCTTACAATACATGGACATGGAATATTTCTCCTAAACTCAAGTTTTCCTTAAATGTCTGTCTCCCCTTTCCTTCCCTTTCCCATTTTTCCTTTCCTTTCCTTCCTTTCTTTCGTTTTAAAGATTTTATTTATTTGAGAGAGAGAGCAGAAAGCAGTGGGAGAGGCAGAGGCAGAAGCAGACTCCCCACTGAGCAG